CGACACATTCCCCGTCGGCTGTGCCTACTCCCCCAAGATCATCTACCCGGACACCTTCAAGAACAATCCAGACTACAAGGACGACATCTACAGCACCGAGCACGGCATCTACACGCCGGGCTGCGGTATGGATAATGTCATGTTGAGCTGGGGCCACGACGAGTACCTCTACCATATCATGAAGGAGCAGAGCAGTATCCCTGATGAGGGTCTTGCGATGATCAGGTACCACTCTTTCTACCCGTGGCACACGGGTGGTGCGTACAAGTGGATGATGAACGGCAAGGATGAGCGCATGCTGGATGCCGTTAAGGCGTTCAACCCGTATGATCTCTACAGCAAGAGCGATGAGGTGCCTAAGGTCGAGGACCTCAAGGAGTACTACTTGGATATCATTGATGAGTTCATCGGCAAGGACAAGAAGTTGAAGTGGTAGACTGGCGCTTGGTCTGCTGTGTTAACGAGTTTCCTTTGTTCTACGGCGTTTGGATATGTAGATGACGCGGAGTGCCGAACAGGCCCGCGATGCAATTCACTTTTCTTGATCTCATCGACTCACCTTCCTCATTTGTGATGTTGGAATGCTATGTCACTATTGATGTTAACTGATGCACTACTAAAGGAACTACATTTCTTGCATGATCGTCATGAAGATCCATGGCATTCCCATGACCGCTGATGCCACTCAACACTTTCTAACCGATAGAAACCTCGCACATACTCGGGCCTCAACGAAGCCAATCCACAAAACGGGCTCTCACACTCCTACCCACAAGTCCGACAGAAACCGCCATGTATACGCATTTCCATGATCGCGTGCTTATACGGCTCGTACTACTTCCCATTATCTCTTGCAATATCTCCCCACATACCTTGTTCCAAACGTCCCTTGTCTGCCTAACGGCGCACTCATCCGGATTTCCCAGTCGAAGAAGCATCCAAGGCTTAGGCGGTTTATAAATGATGGGGCCCAATGAAGAACAACATCCCCATACCACCGGGCCTTTGGAAGCACAGAACCGAGCGGTCGTCGCGTCGCATTGTAGTTGTCTAACAAGATCGGGCGAATGATTGGTGGACGAACTGGAAGAGGTACATTTTCGGCGGTTTGTAGACCAAGTTGCTGATTACTCGTAGAAGGCGCTTCCAGCTCCTCTATCGTGGTGGGAGTGCTTTGAACCATAGTCTGTGAATTATACGTAGAACAGGGTCTGGAACTGTCGCTACTAGCCGCTGGTTCGAATGTGAGCTTTTCGGGCTTCTTCTCGATATGGTTTATATCGCCAGTTGCATCATTGTTGGGCTCTGTAACGATGATGCTCTTGGATATGGCTACGTGTATATCTTGTGGCGTCTCTGTCTTCGTAAATTTCTTCTCGATTTCGGCAGTCATGATTGTGTGTCTCTGCCCAGGTGATAGTGAAACTCCGTGCGGTTCGCGCAATATCAGCCCTGGGATGATAGCAGAAGGAGTAGAGCTTTTCTTAATGAGATAATACTTGTTGGCACCGTAGATAAAGTAGTGGAGTGCTTGCTTCGATGAGCAATCCCCTTCTTTCATGCTTTGATCTAGGTAAACAGATGTATCCAGAACGTCCGCGCTGTCAACTGCAGCTTGACATAACCTTGTGATTTTTTGCTCAAGCCTGCCTTCGTGAGCAAGGTAAGTATATTAAACGACGATCTGCTCAAAGCCACTGCTAAAATAAGGTATGTTAGCACGCGCGAGATACTTCGCCGTCTACACGTTTGTCATGACAAAATAATGCTGCGCAGTACGACAACGCACGCGTTCTTCATTAAAGCCGATAGAACCCTTGAATCTCTATGCATAATAGTCGGTATTTGGACGGATTTGCGGAACGTCGCTAAGGAGGAGAACAGCTATCCATGGATTGGACGCAGATGGTGTATTCAACGTCCAGCAGTACCGCCAGCGCCTGTAAGACCATGAATTTCGTGGAACGGCATGCGAATCCTCAGCACTTGAAACACGACAGAAGACAAGGTGCATACTGTACACGTCTGATCAGAGTTTGTTGAGCGCACTGCTTACAAGGCAGGAACAAGGCATCCCCGCAACAACGAGGCTGAGACGACCTTAGCTGATCATCACATCAACCGGAGAACACCATACATAGAGACTAGCAATAGCAAAACTACTTACTTGCTAAAAGATACAGCAACCCCTACCACATGTTCACGCGAAATAACGCGTGACATCGCGCCCATGCCCACCGGAAGCCCGCGGCTCCTCCCACCGCCCATGCCCAGCCAGCCAGCCACCCACGCCCCATCCCTCGGTCATCCCAACCACCATCCCTCCCACCAGCCTAACCATCCCACCACCACCATCATCACCATCTTCCGCGGACCTCAACCCAGTCCCCGCATCCACACCTACCCGCCCACGCAGTGGCATGCACTGACACCGTTCCGCACCGTTCTGCAGCCGTTATTGTAGTAAACACATGGTCCCTGCTCTACCTGCCTTACCCGTTAGTCCCCACAACACCCTCCTGATCACCCGCAATCTGATACACACGATCTGCACCCGGCCGGTACATACGCGTCAGCACTTCCCTGAAAAGAAAGGTAGTTGCTGGTATGGTAAGCACGACAGACGCACACACCCTCATATATGGGGCCGCGGAGCATCGCGGAGCGTGGGAGAAGAAACGCGCCCCCGCAGGGCTGAGGCTGATGCTGATGATCTGCTGGGGCGGAAAAGGATAAAAGTGGAGGTTGAGGCTGGAGGTTAAGTTGACTTCATGTCTTTGACTTCATGTCTTGAGTTGCGCGACTTACCTACTTGTCGATTTGTTTACTTGCCATTGTGGTCATTGCGTGACTTGCGCCAATTGCTGCTGTGACAGTGTGCCACGTATGCTTGGCGTGAGCTGTGTAGCTCAACGCGATGTGGGTTTGGGCAACGTGTTCATGGCGAATGCTTCACGGCAGGACACAGTTGGCTACACAGTTGTCCCGAGGGCGGTGACACTAGGGCAAAGAGGACAAAGATCAGTAAGTGTCAACACAGTAAAGGTGGAAAGAGTAATGTCGTGAGAGATTATCATTGAGTTACTATCTACAGGAGCCAATGCTAATGGCCCATCCATTTCCCATGTCGGGGTATCAATCACAGTCATAAAAGACTGCCCAGGCACAATGAATCCGTCATTATCATTATGCCTTCGCGTGAGTGTTCGTTAGGAAAGAAGAGAAAGCTGCGCCATGCATCCACGTATCCAAAGCCCGCCTCGCATTACCGACCCGATGCTACCAGTCATTATACACATTACTCCATCGAGCGAGGACCTTGGTTGTGACGTGAAGGTGAGACGCTTAGAGGAGGAGCCATGCGGCGATACCGGCGCCAGCGAGGATGGGCATGCCAGTGGCCTTGGCAGCGGCGCCATCAACGACGGAGGAGGCAGCGGAGCCAGCAGCGTCGGTGGCAGAGGCAAGGGCAGAGCCAGCGGAGTCGGTAGCGGACGAAGCAGCGCTGCCGGCGGACTCGGTGATGGAAGCAAGCTCGGAGGCAATGCTTGAGCTGGCGGAAGCGAGAGCACCGCTAGCAGAGCTGATAGCAGAGCTAACCTCAGAGGCGATGGAAGAGGTGACGCTCTCGAGGCCAGAGGCGGCGCTGGAGGCAGCGCTGGAAGCCTCGCTGACGACAGAGGTGATGACGGAGGTGACAGCTGAGCCATCAGACTGGACAGCGGTGGCACTAGCGACGGCTGAGGTCAAGATGGGAAGAGCAGCGGGAGTGCCAGAGCCAGTGGCAGCGACACCAGCGCAGCGAGCGTAGGCCCACTGAACGGCGGAAGCAGACTGGTCGGCGTCGCAGGCCTGGCGGGTGCAGTCGCGGATACCGTAAGCCCAGTTGGACTGGGTGCAGAAGCAGCTGATGTCGGAGCTCTCGCACTGGAACTCAGTCTGGGCAATGGTGGCCATGTTGTTGATGCACAGGTTCTAAGCGACTGTTAGAATTGGTTGAGATAGTCAATGGCAGTGGGGACACTTACGGCGCAGTCACCGCTGGGCATGGGCATGTCCTGGGCAAGAGCAGCACCGGCGAAGGTGGCAGCGAGAACGGCGTAAGACCTCATCTTGACTGTGGGTGGTGGAGAGAGTTTTTGGTGGAGAGGATATTGAAGTAGGATACTAGGTATCGAAGTGAGGGTGAGTCAAGGTGAGTTGAGAGGTGCTGAGGTTGAGGATGCTGGATGAGGAATTGGAAGAGAGGGCAGCTCGAGCGGGTTTATATCGTAAGAACACAAACAGTCGGGGCTGGGCCGTGGCTGGTTAGTGAAGTTGCGCGCAAACAGGAGGCTGCAACGGGCTGGGTGACGGGTTGGCGCGTCAGTAGCGGAACTAGCGCGAGCAGGGAGCAGCAGCCAAGCCCAGGCACAGAGACTCCACGATCGCCGCCAGAGCAGGGAAACTCGGAATGCACGACCGGTCCCCTGCGCGCCCATTGGCCAATGCGTCCAGCGCTCCTACCTTATGATGTAGCCACGCCAACCACACCCCAGGGCCGATATCCGAACCTGCATGTACAACTCACATGTCGAACCAGCTTTCTCGTCGCGACTCGCTCGACTGTGGTATCCGCTCCGTCACCTTCGTCATGCCTTCCAGCTCCACAGTCACGCTTTCACACAGCATCCTGCCCGAACTCGACCGCCGCTGCGCACAATCGGCCTTCGCGCTGGTGTGACGGGCTACCAAATTAATCAAATCTTGTGTGCATTCAAGCACTACCAGTCGTCGTGACGTCGAGATAGCGGCTGCCGCTTGGTGCTTACCCGCCCTTTCATTTCCGTTTCACAAAGCTACCAAGAACCCACGAATCTCGCTTCCCCACGAGTGCAGGGGGGCTGGATGAGATCCAGGCCCATAGATCGCTCTTCACCGGGCCAACAGCTGCCAATCACCCACCCACCCTACGGCAAATACCACCTGTGGCGCATGTCGCAGTCTATCAAGCCGCAGCATCAAGCCGCAAGAGTAATCCGCGCCTCTGCATCGCCCTCCAGCTTCGGCGCCGACCCGTCTCTGTCCCCTTCGCCCGCCTCCTGCTGCTCGGCCAGATGCTTCTCTTCAGCTGAGGTGATGCAGTGCGTGTTCGCGCCTACCAAACAGCGGTCAGCTCTGTGCGTTTGACTCGGGGAAGACGACAAAAGGAATAATTAAGCTCACCCAACTTATTGATCGTCTCCATCCACTCATCGTAGGGGTCCGAGTCGAAAACTATGCCGCCCTGCAGCCAATCATTAGCCTCGTGTCTTGCAGCTAAAGCAGGGAATTCGTTAAACTTACCCCTGCTTGGAGATACGCGATGCCATCTTTGACAAGCATGGTCCTTAGCGCAATGCATGTCTGCAAAAATCAGCCTCCTGTCAACCTGGAACAAGGCAAGACTACTCACGTCCATGGCACCTTCAATCTCCTTGTCGCCATCAATACTGCCGTAGCCAAAGTATCCCACCGCGCCAGCATATACACCGCGTTTTTCCCGCTCCAGCTCAGCAATGAGCTCCATAGCACGGACCTTGGGCGCACCGCTCACCGTGCCTGTTGCCGGTTAGCGACATTTCCAACTTTTTCAACGCGCTACCTACCAGCTGGGAAGATAGAGCGGAACGCGTCGAATCGTGTCTTGCCAGGTCGCAGCACCCCGGACACCTCCGAGACCAGGTGCTGCACGTGGGAAAACTGGTTTTGATTGCAGTTAGCATAGCCCTCAGTTTGATATCATAGCGCTCGCTTGATATCATCGCACGGTAGCTCATCGCATGATCCACGGTAATCACGGTTCGGACGGAACGCTGCTCACCTTTTGGACAACCATTAGCTTGTCAACTCGTGTCGAAAGTGGGTCGCACACGCGATTGACGTCATTGCGAGCCAAGTCGACCAACATAACCTGTACAGCACAATGTAAGCTTCCAACGTCGCTGCATGCACTTTGATGTCAGGCAACCCACATGTTCGGCCCGGTCCTTGAGCGAGTTGGACAATTCGTCTGCGAGTGCTGCGTCTTCTTGCAGTGTCTTGCCCCGCTTCACTGTGCCGGCAATGGGGTGCGTGATGATGCGACCCTGCTCCTCTTTTACCAGCAGCTCGGGACTTGCCCCCACTATCTGAAAATCGTCACAGTCGACGAAGAAGAGGTACGGTGAGGGGTTGACGTTGCGGAGGTTCCGGTACACGTTGAAGGGGTGCAATGAGGTCGGTCTTGCAAACCGTTGCGAAGGTACTGCCTGGATGATGTCGCCAACACCAATGTGCTTCTTCAGTGTCTTGACGTGGTTCTCGTACCCCTCCTGGCCAATGTTCGATGTGTACTGATGGCCTAGCTGTATAGGCCCTTGTTCCGGTAGCGGGATGTCCTTGTCCTTGAGTATCGTCATATACCTCTTTAGTGTACTCTTCGCTTCCTCGTACGCTTGTTCTAGGTCGTCCATGCTGTCTGGGACCTTGACGTACGTTATGACCTTTACGACCTGCGCGAAATGGTCCAGAGCCACCAGGGTATCGAAGAGCATGAAGAAGCTCTCTGGTACACCCAGCACATCCTTCATGTCATCTCGCCGTGTCTTGGGCTCGAAGTATTTGACGCAATCATAGCCAACGTATCCCACCGCGCCGCCGGTCATAGGAGGTAGTTGTATCGAGGGTACGGTCGCGACGCGGCTCTTTGCGAGTTCCTTTTCGAGGAGGGGTAGTGGATCGGTTTCTTCGCCATGGCCCGGGCCGGTCTTGATGACTTTGCGAGGGTCTGAAGCTTGTCAGCTGTGTATGCCGGAAGTTTGTTCAAGTACCGACCTGCGCCAATGAAGCTATACCGTCCTATGGTCTCGGTTGTCGCAGCACTCTCGAATAGGAAGGATAGTCTTGACTTGGATCTGACCCCACGATTAGCATGTGCGCAATCGATCCAACCCCTCCCGCTTCTGACAGTCGATTCTCACAGCGTTTCTCCGACGTGACCCAACCCCTCCAGTCCACATCGCATGAAATGAGTCACACTCACTTTGCGGATATCTTCAGGTATATGCTTGACGGGGTCAAGAACTCGGCGGGTATCGAGGAGAAGACGGGCACGAGGTTTGGTGGGTTGGGCGACTTGACTGCTGCAGCCAATACCTCTCGAATGGTGTCAAGCGATGGCTGAACGCCTAGCTAAGTGGTCATGCGCTCAGTTCTGTAGCCAGCCGTGTGTGGGGTCATGGACATACCTGTGACGCCATCTTTGTATAGAGTGAGATATTTTTCTATAAAACGTCTGATAAGCGGTGAAAACAGAAGAACCTGTGAAATACAGTCCTCGAAATGTGTATTGAAGCCAGAATTGATGATTCTCGGGCCAATCGGAGGGGCCACAAAATGTTATCGATAGCAAATTCCTTGGCGCACTAGATCTCCGCAAGCCTCGGCGATGCACGCACGTCACAAGCGGTGACCAGCCTTCTCCCGTCTCCCGCGCTTACGCAGGTGTCCGCTCTCTTCAACACCAGAGCGCATCGCTGTTGGAGCTGTATTCCTACCCTTGAGAGCCTTTGGACTGCGCGCGCATTGTTTTGGAAGCCAAGAGGAGGATGTGGCCATCGCGCGGCCACGAAAGCGCAATGGACATTCCTCGCACCCTAGACCGGCCATGGACCCCTCCGGAACTCGAAGACAAGGCAGATTACTTCAACATCTACGGTACCTCTCCTCCACGATATCCTATCGCGACCGAGCAGCGCTGGCTGAAAGAGGCCAATCGGGTGCCTGACCAGCCTGCTTGGGTCACAGATAGCTTCGGGTTGAACACACCTGCGACAGGACCGCGACCGAAGCCCAGCTCAAGACTTACCGAACCAGCGCCATACACACCTACACGACCATATTATGACGATTCATCGCATTCGCGCACCCAAGGCGAACCGCGCTATCCCTACACTCCTGATAGCTCACGCATACTACGTCGAAACAATACCGAACTTCCCGCCTCACCGACACCATGGGACGACGACTCGGAGACATCCTCATCGCCCGTACAGAATGCGCTCTCATCCTGCATCGCGCACTTCGAGAACCTCATCCAGACACACCACCCCGACGAAGAGCAAATGGAGTACATCGTCGGACAATTCGAAGCCATGACCGCGCACCTCTCCTCGCCCAGCGGATCCCAAACCGAAGCGACACACGACGACAAGCCCTCCTCCGACTCTAGCCAGGAACTCGCCATCATCACACAAGCAGAGGGTGAGCAACAACAACTTGAAGCCAAAACGTTGCACCACGAAGCTTATGTTTCGCAAGTAGGCAACTACATCGCGGGCGTGCAAAAGTACATCTACGACCTCAAGACGCGCATGGACGAGTTCAAAACACTGAATCGCATTCAAACCGACATCATCAACGACTTGCGCAAGCAGATGAGGACCGTCCGCCAATCCATGCGCGAGGAGCTGGACAAGAGCTACCATCATGACGATCTTGCGAAATCTGTCTGGTCGGATTTCGGCGCAAAGAGCGAGGCGCTACCGGAAGATGATGAGGTTCACGATAACAACGACACGGCGAAAGAGTTCGGGATGCTAGACAGCTGTATGACGCTCGTCGAGGAAGAAGACCTATCCCGAGAGATTCACGAAGAATACTCCAAACTACTACGCGATACCGTCGACACTCTCATTATCGAAGAGCCGTCATCGCCCAAGCGGAAGGTTATCACTATCATCCGATCGCCTCCCCGACGCAGCTTCTGGGGCTCCATGGGCGAAGCGCTGGATGCGGTTTCGAATTTGCTCTTGGAAGAATGATTTGATGCGAGATGTGGACGACGACAATTTTACCTGCGACCGACACTGCATTTGACGATTATAACGACGATCTTGGAACCACGCACTTGGATGTTACATTGAGATTTACAATGATTTACGGCCGTTGTCGGAGCACATGAATGATGAAGGATGAAGAGGCGGTTTTGCATATGAAAGAGGTGGTGGTTGCATTTGGATTACGAACGGTTGTGGAAAGACTTTACCCCATATTTTGAGCATATGAGTGGCGTTGTCCTTTTTCGTTCTCTGGTTTCTTCCTTTGACGCAACAGCATTGGTACGTTCTGGATACCCATTTAACGTTGATCGGTTGGCATAGCATGACTTACTGTTTCTTTTTGTTGTTATTTTTTCTGTAGTATACTTGGTTCACTTGCGAAACGCTACTCTTATATACTGAATTCTATGATATGATATCATGATACTTGGATAAGTGATTCATTGCATATCCCGATGGATATACCGCACCGTTTGCAAAAGTCTAAACTTGGCTGCAACTTCACACTACGCATCACATCGCGGACGCCGAACAACAGCAGAATGAATGCATTGGTATCACATGGTCAATGTCTAATCCTCTCTCAACACCCCCAGTCTTAGCCTACTCCACATAATCCAGACTTCCCTTCCCCACAGTCCCCTTCGTCGCCTCAGGCCCCTTCTGCTGCCTAAGCTTCTCCTCAAACTTGGCAAACTCCTGCAACGCAATTTCCTCCTCCTGATCAAGCACTTGCTGCACGCCCTTGACCTCCTCAATATAATGCATCAACATGCTCTCAATCCCGTTCTTGAGCGTCACAGTACTAGAATCGCAGGTCCGGCACGCGCCCCTCAGCTTCAACATGACTTGTCCGTCGTTGAAGCCGCGGAACTCAATGTCGCCGCCGTCTTCTTGGATCGCGGGGCGGACGCGGGTATCCAGCAACTCTTTGATCATGCCGATGACTTCGTCGTCGTTTTCATCGTAGGCCAATGAATCGGCTTCTTGGCCGCCCTGGCCTTGCTCGCCGGGCTTGGAGGCGACGGTGTTGACGATGGGTTGGCCGGACGTCATGTATTCGTTGATGAGGGCGAAAACTTCGGGCTTTACGTGCGACCAGGGCGTGGATGTGTCTTTGGTTACGGTGATGTAATCCGCGCCGAAGAAGACGCTGGTTACGCCGTCGATGTTGAGGAGTTGCGCGGCGAGCGGGGAGGGGTGCGGTGGCGCGAGTGTGGAGCGTGGGTTCAGGTACTCGAGGAAGGGGGAGGAGATTGTTTCGGGGAGGACGCGCTGGTTGGGGTTGAACTTCAAGGCCTGGGGGGAGTTAGTATGTGGTGGGGTTGGGGTTGGAGGCAGTGCGTACATCGGCGTTGGGTGTTGGCTCGGTTTGGATGAACATGGTTCGTCGCGCGACTGTCGCTGATGGAGCTGCTACTCTTTGGCTCCATGGCTGTGCGGTCGGTCTATGTTGCAGTCTCGAGGCTGTGATGGGCGATGGTTGCTGGTGCAGACATCTCGTGGCGATGCGCGGTGTTGCGGAGCGTAGAGACGGTGTCGCACGGGATAGGCTGCGCATGGCAGAACGTGGGATTGTGCTTGAAGCCATCTTTTGTATAGGTGTGGATGGTATGTTTGGTGGGTAGGGTGGTGTGGTCGCAATGGCGAGGTATGTAGGCTCGTGAATGAAAGTTCGGGAACTCGGGCCAAACGAAATATGACGTTTGTCGGATTATTCAGCCACACGCTGACTGGCTCCCACTGGTCCATAGCTCCTTCTCTCCTTGTGCGTCTTACATGTTGCACAACTGGTACAGAACTATACGGAAGCATCTAAAACACCGACTTAACCTTCTGATGGGACTGTAACCGCATGGCAAATTCTCTACTTGTGTTATTCCTTGACAGATGCGAAGCCCTTTGGCATAACGCACCCCCACTACCACTCGCCTTGGAATACGAACAGAGGTGGCCACTACTCGTGTCACATTATACAAATGTCTGAGGTTGAAGTATAACCCATTTGAGAACCTATATGCGTGTTAAGCTTTAGTAGTGTACATACAGCAAAACGCAAATGCGACACGAATTTTGGCTACCCCTGCTGATGCTCAGTCTTGTATCGGGTGCGGTGATATATACATTCCGGCATCTGAATCACGTCTTTCGAGAGTTCCATACGTCTCCTATCGCTTTATACAGTGTTGGCCACGAACATTGTCGGGAAAGATAAGACTTCTTTCAAGCTTCGCATGGATGATTACGTATGTTCTCGCGTCAGATTTCGATCGGTACCATTTCATTTACTTGTCTTATTCTATTGGGCAGCTTGTACGATCAGGACCAACAATTCGCTAATCTGCAGTCATCTGCCCTTCTGACGCGCCACAACAGCGCACTTCTCATTGCGTACCCGGGACTTCATCCCACCCGAGTCTCTTGTGCCGTGGCGCGATACACTCAGGGAACACCTTTGTTTCCGGCACGGCATCGTCTTATTATTGGCACAGATCAGCATGGCTGAATCCCAAATTAGACGATTCTACTTGGGTGGGTAAATGGATCTGGGGGCCAAACCTAAGCGCTATTCCGAATCTTACAATTACGCCCTGCGTAGGGCTGTGACACGGGTTGCCCACATCGGTCTGTCTTATTTAATTAACTAACTGACGAGTCCGTTCGCCTTTCTTCGTCATTTCTCTCCTTGCCGTCCTCGTCGTCTAACTCCCTTATACGTTGCGATGCGTGTGTGCCTTCTACATCGGGTGATGTTCTTCACTTTGGCAGTAGGCGTTTGGGCCGATTGCTACTCACGCGATGGTGCGTATGCATCCGTACTTCGGAACCAAAAGAGTCTTGCCATCATAGGCCCTTCTGTCTATTGCTAACGTGCGCTTCTCATAGGCGAGACTTTCCAATCTAACAATCCGACTAGCGATGAATTAGTCTCATGTGGCAAAGGCACGAACAATTGTTGCTTATGGAGCGAAAGTTGCGGCAGCAACTTGCTGTGTACAAGATCGGGAAACATTGGCCGGCAATATTGCGCCGACAAGAACTGGACGGGCTGTAGTGACTTGTTTCCCGGTGAGTCCATACAGTCTAAGTCTTCATACAGAACACTATTAAGAGGACTTTCTAGAACAAGATTGGCAGGGGATAGGACTAATATCATGCGGAGAGAACGTCGTGTGTTATGGGAATGATCGCTGTTGCACAGACGGGCTATCTCAACTGCGCTATGTCAACCCGCTGACAGGTAAGTCTTGCCTCTACGAAGTGCATGTGAGACACATACTGACTTCGTACCCCTAACTCTGCAGGCAAAGTAAGCGACGCACAAGACAAGGATTCCGACGCGACAAAGACGCCAATGTGGTGGAAGGTCGATAGCTCAGGGATACTAGCCAGCTTGGGTACGGCCACTGCTTCACAAGGCGTCGCAGTATCAGAAGCGACAACCTCGACCAATCCACAAAGTACACCCGCGTCCTCGGACGGTAGTGCAGCGGCCTCTACACCCACCAGCGCGCCGTCTCCAACAGCAACCAATACCACAGATCAATCCGATGTATCGTCGAGCGGTGGTATATCGGCGGGCGCAGGAGCAGGCATCGGCGTCGGCGCAACTGCTGCTATAATCATCATTGCGTTGCTCGCTTGGCTCTTCTTTCGCGAGCGCAAGAAGAGAAGAGCACTGCAGAAACCGGCCATGGACACAACCATGCATCAGGCCCATCCTGCTCGGAAGGATATGCAGGATTACACGCACGAAGCACCACCCGATGGGCGTACTGAGTTGGAACAAGAGAGGGCGAGATATGAGATGGACGGGAGGGCGGGGCAGGAGTTGCCTTGATGTTGGGAAGCGATTTAATCTTTCGCCCACCGTCCACCGTCAATATATCCTTTCACAACGAGCTTATCTTCCACATACAACCATAGGATCTTTAGAATTGGGTTTACCCGCGATCCGTCAAAACTCACAGTGCTGGGTGCTACTGGCATGCCACGAACACAGGACTTTGGCATGGAACGATTGGACACGCTTTTCACTTGATCTCTACCTCACTGGTAACTGTTATTTTCGTGCAATCGCTGGGCGATATTCCACCTGTCCGAGTGCTGGCAATGCAAGCCTGGCGCTCGAAGCGCTCGTCTCCATGGTTGTGCAGGATCCTCTCAATGGTCTCCACAGAACTTCCGTCTAATCTGGGACACAACCTTTCTTCACTACTGACGCGGATCGTTGTCGAATACAAATTGGGTTTCTTCCCTAGTTTGGGCTGCGATCCCACCGTGTACACTTGCAGCTCTTTGTCTTCGGTCGATTGTCCGTTTTCGCCTCGTGGAGGATTTTTGCGTGATGCGTTCGACGAGAGGTACGAGCTGTATTTGCCAATCGCAACACGCCAGAACGGCCGCAGGGCAGGGAAACATCCAGCGATCATGAGGACGTTGTTCTCAGTCCTGCTTGAGTGAGTCAAGGTCTCTTGTGTTCGATAACACTACACTCACAGATACCAGATCGTTATCTCTGACCATGAGTGTGTCATGTCCGCGACATTGGAGATGCTGCCCATTGCTACGATCTTCATGATGGTTGCGAATGTGCCACTGCCAACGTCAGTAATTGCACCAACAGTGCGGCGAGGTGACCTTACAGAATGCTACCACCCATCAGTATTACAAGATTTCGCTTGTCCTTTCGAGGAATGTTCAAAGTCCTTATGATAAAGTACGGCATGATGGCGCAAAAGACGTCCATCATCGCGTTATACACTGAGGCTTCAGCACCTGGCAGAGACATTGGCATTCTTCCAACATACCTGAGACCGACTTTCCGACAACATCCAGCATTGCGGGGCTCAAGCATGTGCCCTCAATCTGCGGTTTCCAGGACTTCTGTACGGGCGAACAAAAGAAAATCATGACAGAGCATGAGAGTGTGGAGCCGATCAGTAGGACGACCAGAGGGGCGTACGCGACACACTTGTGCGATAGACGCGCTGTGTGTCCTCGGATCTAGGCTGGTAAGCTGAGAGTCACGTCCATTGCATAGTACTGTGTACTTACTCTCATTAGTGCGATGATGATGGAGGCTTTCGTGAAGAAAGCGCTGACGATGGAGAAGCAAGGCGCCAACAGCACGTACATGGTAGCCACAGCCTGATCTTCTGGATCACTGATGTCCCATACATGTTGTCCAAGGCCGTGCGCAGTGCCGGCTGCTACGAGCGATGTACACACTACAGCGAAGATCTGATGTTCGAGTAAGTCAATGGCAATCGAATGTAGGACTGAGGTCTAAGGTCGAACTCACCAGGCCCGCAATCATACACCAGTCGTCCCAGCCCAGAGTCGTCGTCACGATTCGTGCGCGTGTATATGATCGCGCTAAGACGAAGATGGATGAAAATGAGACCAGCGTCCACCCAACAACATTGAGGACTTTTCGATAATCATTCATGTCTGCGGAAAGGAGCAGCGACAAACCTCGAATGCATCGCAACGGCACTCAAAAGACACTTCACAGGGCAGAGCATCGTTCTCATACTGCTCCTGGACATACTGGGTCCCAAGTATGGGTCATTCGAGCGTGCTATCGCTCGTTCAGGTATGCCAAGCTTGTGCCGTATGGCTTCTGGCGCGGCACACTGTCCTACTTGCCGAAATTCCTGTAGAAGCGTCTCATGAGCGTTCATGATTTGATGGCTCAAGCTGTGCCGCAATCCTACACAACGCTACCTGGGTACGCTCGTATCAACCCAGTAGCCCCCACGCACTGTCATTGGCTGTGACAAAGGACGGGCCGTGGTCCGCCCCACTCAAGTTCAGGGAGCGGGCCGTATCGAAGCCTCGCATGAGATGAAGCACCGAAAGCTCAAAACATGCCCTGCTATCGCGTTGTATCGCATCTTCGGATAAACAGCGTATTCCCTCATGCCTCGAATTTCTGGATATAAACCACTCCAACCTATTCACAATGGCCACATTATCAACAACAGTCCTATTCGTTGTCAGTCTGCTGGCAATATTGTACCTCTGGCTCCGTAAACGACAAGACTCGAATTTACCTCCGGGACCGCCTCGGTTGCCCATTCTCGGCAATTTACACCAGGCTCCCAAAGAAGCCGTCTGGGTTACATACCAGAGATGGGTGGAACAGTATGGTCCTCTTGTGTACCTCAATTTCGGCGGCACGAATGTGATATTGATTGGAGACCACGAGGTGGCCAAAGATCTGCTTGACAAGAAGGCAATAATCTACAGTAGTCGGCCACGCATGGTAAGTCACGAGTCCGTTCTGCCGACAGCTGTAATAGCGACCTGATATATTCCAAGGTCATGGCACAAGAGTTGACGTGCAAGAGCAAGCACATAATGTTCAAGCCATTCGATAGTGACTTTCTCTTGCACCAACGACTAGAAGCTCCTGTGCTCAGTCCGCGTGCGTCAGCCTGTTACACGGCAATCCAGGACCTAGAGAGCAAACAGCTCTTGAAGAACCTTCTTCAATCAAACGACTTCCCCAAGGAGTTTGAGCGTTTTGCGGCGAGCATCGTATATTCCATCACCTTCGGTATGCGCATCATCACCGGCGACGAATGGCAACTTCAGACCAGTCACGAGTGTCTTAAGAACTTTACTATTGCCGGTCAGGTGGGCGCGTGGATAGTCGATCTCTTCCCGTCTCTCAACCGCCTCCCAGCACCATTGACGCCATGGAAGAAAACGGCTGAGGCGTGGTACCAGATGTGGGAAAATCTCCACATGGCCAACATGCAAGACGCACTTAAGCGCAAGGGATGGAACTGGGCCAAGGAATTCAACAAGTCAAAGGAGGCAACAGATCTCGCTCCGACAGAGATAGCATGGGACCTTGGTATTTTGTGTGATGCTGGCGTCGAAACTACACAAGTCCAATTGCAGATTTTCATTTTGGCATGCGTAGCCTACCCAGATTGGATTGCCACCGCGCAGAAAGAGCTCGATGAAGTCGTCGGTACTAACCGTCTTCCTGGCTTCGAAGATCTGAGCAAGCTGCCCTATCTCCAGGCTGTGGTAGAGGAAAACTTTCGATGGCGACACATTGTGCCAGCTGGGATTCCGCATGCCACGACTCAGGAGGACTTCTACAAAGGTTATCTGATACCCAAGGGCTCGGTTGTGGTTCCTGTGTTCGCCGCCATGCGCCAGAACGCTAGCACATTTGACTCACCAGAAGTGTTCCGGCCTGAACGCTGGATCGAAAAGACGCAGCCTGCCAACTTTGGATACGGCCGCAGAGTTTGCCCTGGACGATTCATCGCACGGAACTCGCTAGCAATAGCGATGGCAAGGCTGCTTTGGGCGTTCAACATACGCTCTAAAGATGGCGCGAGGATCAACGTGTCAGAAGAAATGTTTACAACTGGGTTTGTGTCCGGCCCAAAACCGTTTGTTGCTGTCTTTGAGCCGAGGTCAGAGGAGCGCAAGGGTCTCGTTGAAAGAGAATTCGACCTGGTTGACAAGGACATAGCGAATCTTCTAGACGAGGCCAGAGGGAAACAGATTGCTGCTGGACTGTCGCCTCAAGGGTAGCTACCTTAGTTTACAGCAATGCACACCTTGCCGATGTGTTGACCTGATACCAAATACTCAAATGCAGAAACGACCTCATCCCTCCCGAAGCCAAACACCTTCTCTACGGGCACATTGAGGTTCTTGGAAGTCACAAAGCGTGTGACATCTTCCAGCTGTTGCTTAGATCCAACCATGATGCCGCGGACGATTGCACCCTTCGATAGGGCAAGCGCCGCCACGTCAGGCATCTTCTCCTGGGGACAGGAGGCAAGGAACCCTATTACAGCAATGTTTCCGCCGTAAGCCACTGCATCAATGCTTTGACCGATCGTTCCAGCTCCGCCGTTCTCGAGAATGAAATCTGCACCGTGGCCATTGGTGATCCTGAGCACCTCCTGAGACCAAGCAGGAGTCGATTTGTAATTGATGGTATAGTCGGCACCGTACGTTTTTTGAACGTGCGCGAGCTTGTCGTCTGACGAAGAAGTGATGATCGTGACAGCGCCTGCAGCCCTAGCCAGAATAAGCCCAGTGATCGAAACACCACCAGTGCCTACAAATGTAATCAGCGGTAGCTCTTATGATTAGAAAAAGAAAGAACCCTTACCGAGAAAGAGCACTGTCTGGCCAGGCTTCAACGGAACGTTGCCGTAAAGCGCATTCCACGCGGTGGTTCCTGTGCAGACCAGAGCCGAGAGCTGAGCGAAGCTGAGCTTAGTAGTTGAAGGTACCCTGAAGAGTGCCGAACTAGGCAATGTAATAAATTCTCGAAGAACTCCATCGTAACAGCCACCCAAGCTATGGTGCCAATCCGGCATAGCACCGTACAAGGTCTTCAAGTCAAAGGATGCAATCACCTTGTCTCCCTCGGCGAAGTCCTCGACGTGGCTACCCACACGTACAACCTCTCCAGAAAGATCAGAGCAAGGCACCACATTGTCTTTCACTGGGAAAGGGTACTTTCCGGTGGAAACAGCAAAGTCGCGGAAGTTGAGAGCTACATTCTTGATTCGGATCAAGACTTGTTGAGCGGAGGGTTCGGGCACGTCCTCTTCGCTAACCTGAAGGTCTTGGATGGAAGTGCGCTGGGGCAGTCGAAAAACTCGTTGTTTGGTCATGGCGAAATAGGCTGGCCGCTGTGTAAAAGTTGGGGGGTAAAAGGTGTGACGAAGCAAGTTCGATACCCAGCTTGGTGATCGTACCTGAGCGCCTTTATAGCTTTCTAGCGGCACCAAGTATATTGAACCCAATGTTGATAACGTCATGTGTCTACATACCAAACCACACCGCCGA